ATTAAGAAAACAATACAAGCGTTTTAAGTAAGTTTCAATAATTCATAACTTTTCGCAAATATGAAAAGATGCATTATGAATTTTCTTAAGTGATGGTATCAAAAAGTTGCTAATGGATATTTTATGTTTCGGTAAGTAAGTACTTTCAGTGTTATATTAAAAACAATTATGTTAAAATCATCAGCTTACACACATCCACTGCTAGACGTAGCCTCCTCGAGCACAGCAACTCTCCTCCTGTGTTGCCCGCATCCAGCCGCTGCCAGCCACCTTGCTCAGGTCGTCCGTCCATCTTGCGGCAGGGCGTCATACACTATGTTTACCTTGACGTGGTCGCCACTCTAGGACAAGTCTGCCCCACTGGTCATCAGTTCTCCCGAATATCCGACTCACTGCCACTTAAGCTTACTGATTTTGCGAGCTGTTGATCAATTTAGTTATTATTATCTAATATATGCCTTCATTAGCAATTCTGTCCATTAGAGAAACTCCAAGCATAGTTCGCTCCATCGTACACTGAGTGACTTTGAATTTGTAGATGAGGCCTGTTGTTAATGCCCATGACTCAGCTCCGTAGGACATAACTGGTAGAAAGTATCATAGAATTTATGTTTAGACCATGTGAGATTGACGACCTGGAGATGTAACTGGGCTTCCCAAATGCCGTCCAGCCCAAACAATAGAGTCAATTGAAGAACAATAGAGCATTATTGCTAAGAAATCTTTAAATTAATGAATGAAATACTCTTTATTGCCAATCACAGCCATGATAACTTTAACTAAAGTTATTATAAAGTACATCAAGCGCACGTGCTTTGTTTAACAATTGCAAACCTAGGTACATAAAATAAATTCTTTCACAATAGCAAAAACGTTGGAATTAAAGATAAAGATAAATTTATTTCAATATAACTTAATCTAATACAATATAAGTAAATCAAATGTAAATAAAGCTATTATAGTATTCAAATAGGAATTAACAAGGGAATCTAAATTATACATTCTTCATAGTAAAGTTATACATTTTAATATTAGCATCTAATGTGTAATTTAGGCAACTTTTTGGCCAAATTTCTTTATGTTACAGCTTAAAAATAGATTTTCTATATTTCACAATAAAATAATTAGTGTTCTTAGGTTTTCGCGATTGTTACACATAGGAAATGAAACTATTTTTTCGGATTTAAATCGCGTATATTTGTTTTTTCAAACAAATCGACGTTTCGGGCCTTTTACAGGTCCTATGGTCACGGTTGACTACCACCTCCGGTCTTCAACCAGTTATGTCTAATATTTATGCAAACCACCCTATTTTGTCCACTATAGTTACAATACTTATTAATTAAATACCTTATTTTTAATTTTACAAAGAAAACATTCCAATTTACGCTACATTAAGTTTTACAAATTATTTTATTGAATAAATGTTTATTAAGTTCAACTTAGTGGAAAAAATAGGGTGCTTTGTTTGAAAAAACAAATATACGCGATTTAAACCCGGAAAAATAGTTTCATTTCCTAAAAATAATTAGTGGTTATAAATTAATGGTAACTTATATAAAACAACAAATTATAACTATGAAACAACTTCCAGCAAGTCACCTGTTTCATTGTAAGTCTTACCTTAAGCCACAATTTGACGGTACTTTTACATTCTATTTTATTCATGGCGAAATAATACAAATTAGAATTTAATTTAAAGTAAAGGTATGTACCAAGGAAGCAAAAGAATCTATGCGAGTGTGCTGTGCGGAGTTGTGCACGAGATGAAAAGGTATCGAGTCGCCTGTGGTTGGTTAAAGTAACGGAATCAAATGGAGTAATTGAGTGCTTTTTCGAAATTATCTGTCGGATAAACAGTTGCCGAACCGAGAGGACATCGCACTCATTTAGAAGTTTGCAGGTTGGATAATCGAAAGGACGGAAGTTGATGACTTTAAAATAAGTTCTCTACGCTCTTCCCAGGTTTATCAGGGTGGTCTTATGTGCACCGCCACAGGATGTAATGCAGTAAAGTAGCAATGATTGACAGTGGACTAAGTACACTGATTTGAGAAGGGCGCTGCTAGCTGCATATCTTACATTTTTTAAAACATATATCAATTTTCCAACTCTAGAAGTAAGTGCTACCATATGGTGTTTGAAATTAAGATGATTGTCAATTATGATACCTAAATATTTAATGTCGTTTGTGCTGTCCAGGGTTGGACAAGCACAGAGGTTTAGATGAGTTCGAGGACTTGTACAGTGGTGAGCTACTATTGAAAAAGCATTCTCACGAGGTTGTATGGAGATACTGTATGAGAAAGTCATATATTTAGTTTTGCTAGTATTCAGTGTAAGAAAGGGCATTCGCTCTGAGCCACTCGGTTACGGAGTTAAAACCAAATTGAAAATGTTTCATTCCAACTTGAGGTGCTGAATAATAAGACTGTATCATCGGCGTAAGATATGACCCTGCCACCAGAGAGGGGAAGAGCGCATAGTTGGTTAATATAAACAAGGAATAGGATTGATCCTAATATGCTTCCTTGAGGCACACCATATTCAATTGGTAATTCGTCACTCGTTATTTTGTCAATCGTCTCGCGCTGCTTTCTGTCAGAAAGATAGTCCTGTAAAAGTTTGAGCTAATTCCAAGTACTTCTAACTTATTTAAAAGTATTGGTATGTTCACAGTGTCAAAGGCTATTGCGAGGTCAAGGAAGATAGCTAAATATTTATTCTTCGAGTCCAAATTTCTTACAATGTAATCAGTCAGTTCACTGCGTCGTTCGTCGATAGCCCTGTTCGGAACCCATATTGAGACGTCGATAGAAGTTTCTTAGTTTCTAAATAATTAACAAGCCTTTTATAGATTATTCTTTCAAGTAACTTAGAAAGAGATGGCCATATTGCAATTGGACGGTAATTGTTAATATTGCTCTAATCGCCGCTTTTGTGAATAGGTTTTATTAGGGCTGTTTTCAGTACTTTGGGAAATGTTCCTGTTAATAAACAGAGATTGAAAATGTAGGTCAGGGATGGAATCAAACATTTTTTTATATTTTTTTTTTTATATAATTGTAGTTTTATCTTGATTATTATTTGTATATTTGCTACGGACAATTTGATTAACCGAGTATTATTAATACGGACGGTCATTATGAATAATGACCAAGAGCATCGGGCAAATTGATAAATTTATTACTTTAACTGGTCTATATTAATAATGCCCCACAGGCCTTCGCTTGTTTGATAAATCGAGGTTTGAAATAGCATAAATTTATCTCTTGGCCGGGCTATACGAATAACTACATATTTTTCGCGGGCAATAACTTTTTTTGTGGGGATATCCTCCTATCATACCTATTCGCCGCGGGGGCAGCGGAGATGTATCCTACGTTATGGACTTCTACCGGCTAAAACTCTATGTTGGCCTTCTCCGGTGCATAACTTAACCTAACCAAAAAAAAAACACTACAAACCGCTTGTTTTATTACTTTTTTTTATTCTAAAGTAAGTGTGCATTTGAACAAAGAAATGATGGTTATTATTCATAGTGACCGGGTTTATCAAATTGCCCGCAATATGTGTACTAAAAATCGTACTATCACGCTTGTGTCCCAAAGAGGAGACACGTAAGAAGGTGTTTCGAACAAACCTCTCTTGATTCTTCTACTGACATCTGTCTTTTGTTTCAATCAATTCAATCTCAATCATTCTTGATACTTCTGAGTTAGCCTGGTTATTTCCTAATTACCAATAACAATTTGATATACCGCTTTCAATTCCAAGTGAAATAAGTATATATTTATCATATATTTATCTAAATAATGTGACTGACACACTTGTGTAATAAGATTCTTAAACATCGTTTAAACAGCTAATGAGCTATGTTAAAGTACCTATCTATTAAGGTGGCTCAATTAGTTTAAATAGAATTATTCAATTCAGCTAGAAAGGCAATTAAGACGTCGCGAAACTTGAACGAATTCCAATTTCGCAAATAAATTGGTTAGAAACGTTAACAGGATTAAACTCCGTCTCGTCACCGCACAATAATTTCCATCAATTTTCAATGCCCTATAATCAAGGGAAACATTCACTCTTAGAATAGTTGGTGCGAGGGTTAACAATTCACTAACTGAAATCAACCATGTTAATAGAATTTGCGTTTGATAACATCTAATGTCTTAGTTGGTTTTGAAGTATTCGTAGTTTAAGGCCGATCTTGATTATACATTGTAATACCTAATTGTTGACATAGGATCACTTCAACCTCAAACTACAAGAACTGCTGAATGAACCGATCAGATATCAATATGATTGATGGAACTTGGATTAACATTAATTCGTTTAATAAATAATTCACTAAAGAATGGGATTCCCACATGATTCGTTCTTTAGTTACAATTACAACATTTTAAAATGATGCTAACTTTGTGCTGATTACAAAGAAAAGCAAGTCGTCAATGTTCGAGCCAATAATTTACGACGTGTTGTGAGCGTTTGTGAATTATTGAACCAACCTACATTAAACAAATTAAGCTTACAATTTGTTTGCCTAGTTTGTACCCAGTTTGGTGTCAGTAGATTCCTGTGCACGGCTAAGATGAGAATTTATTGACCGAGAACTTTACGGACTTTCTATGCAGAGAATAATTACATTCATGGGACCTGCTTACCCAAATTTAAACTATATTTAAAATAATTAAAGGTATCTTCCTAAATCGGTAAATAAAGGCTACTTTATTGCCTTCAATATATTTTTGATTTTGAGCATAATGTTAAGAACATCTGTAATTATTGAGGGGCGCACGAAAGGGGCCTCCCCGCACGACGTACCTTTCCTTAGTACCATACGCTGATTGGCAAATCCTTTCGCCACTATGGCAAGTATTATGCCATCGATACTATAAGAATAAGAACCTATAATGACTAAAATTTTGTCTTTTATGGATCTGTCTTCTATTGTTTCATTAATAGTAATAAGTAAGAGTTTCTATATTTGTCTCCAGGTTGCACTTGCATCCGTTTCACGTCAACGTACGGCAAGGAGCGTGGCACATTCAGCAGCCCCGACTACCCGCGCCCCTACCCTGCCAGTCTCGACTGCCTGCTTTACACCTTCCTCGCTGCGCCTCACGAAATCATTGAAATAGTCTTCACTGATTTTGATATCTACAAGGAGCATCTTGAGTAAGTCGATTGATTATTTCATTAGGTATTTTGTAGCTTTAATGTTTTATGTGTGTATTATAAAATAACCAATACTTCAGGTTGTAAACATTCAATCATGCTTAATATGAAACGTACGTACAAGAATGTTACCTGATCTATGGTCAAACTGAATCAAATACAACGTTTTACAATTTTTTTTATTCCCGACTTCTAAAATATACAAAAATATATTGATAACTAGGCATAAACTAAAACGCAAAATTATACTAGCAAAGTCCATGAACGGCTCTTGGTAGTTATTTGGGCAGCTTTCGCCATCCTTCTTTATTGTGACATGTGCAATGGGATAACTAGGTGTATTACAAAATACTTTATTAACGTGCCACCGCTTATTGTATAATAAACAACATGTATGTGTATAAAGCAACGTAGTGACGTAGACATTCTCTAGTCAGTAGAAGCAAGCGCTGGTCACACTATTCTCTAAATTCAGTTGTCAGATCTGTAAGCTGTTAAAAATCCTTTCTTAATAAACTTTTTTGAGAAAACAACTTTCTTGGTCAAATATGTTTAAGTATACAGAAGCAAGTAACATTTTTAGTCAGAATTTCAAACAAAGGCACTATTACGACCTTACTAAATGTGTCTGACAATATACTTGCTGAACAGGACTCTGTTCAAGGCTACCGTCTTGACACGTTTGGATTTTATAGTGCTTAAATGAGTCAGCGGTGCAATAGAGAGCTGTGTTCGTATTCCTTCACAGGCGGTCAAATTGTACAAGTGTGACGGTGTCCGTCTTGTTTCCACCTTCTTCCTATAAACTGTGATACTACAGGATATTTATTGCGAGTCTACTGTTTGTTAAATTTTCAACAAAGAATCAAAATCGTGAACAAAAACCTCAAAATTAAGGTCGCAGGTGAAAAACATCCAAGCATCGTATTTGATGGTAAATTAAAGTTTAAGAGCCATTTGTTGGGTCAGGTTAAGTAGTTAACTACTTTTACCGCCTTCGAATTTTCTGTAAAATCCGTAATCGTTTAAATGAGCATGCTTATAATTATATTACAAATTTCCAGAGTTAATTTTATTCGTTTATGGTTCTCATTTACGTCATTAACGTACACAAATGTTAGTTTTCGATTTGCTTTATAATTCCACTTTTTAGCCATATCACATGTTGGACTTAAATAATGCAAGCATGTTAAATATGCATGTGTATTATTTGGGGTGGTGAAGTTCAAAAACCGGAATATTCGTACGAAAAGTTAACATTTTACGCATTCCCCATGAAATTCATGCGGTCTCTGTTAGAAGGTCAAATGCACCACATCGTGGCTTCCACCGGAAGCTTCTTCTATCGCCTGGTGTTGCTATAGTATTCCACATTGAGTATATATTCGAGAAGCAAAATCAAAATACTACAAAAATTTAATAATAATAATAATAATAATAATGCACACACTCAACATAGCCCCGCACTAGGAAACCCTGTGTCGCGGGTGCCATGGACACACACAATTACACCAAAACTCACGAGATAAATAAATGTACGCTATACAAATATTTCTCCCGGCCCGGGAATCGCACCTGGGACCTCTGCGTGGCAGTCCGGCATGGTAACCGTTCGGCCACAGACGCAGTTTTTCATCGGCGTTGGCTTCTAAAATGATATAACTAATATTATCATAAATACTTATTGCAGTTTTTCTATTTGCAATTGTTTTTATTTGATTATATTTTTTGTTTTCTTATTAATGATTTAAGAATATAGATTTTGTGTTCTCTACATTATGCTCCCTATACAATTGAGACGCTGTTTTCCTGTTAATGCACCACATGGTATTATCTTCGAAAGTAATAGCTGAAAATCAGTACCATGCTTACATTTTTGTGCAAAAAGCAAAAATCCACGCCGAGGTTTATGGATTGATTCAGCGCACAAAGGTTCTTGTTTATTATTTAATACTATTTGGTATGCGTTTTAATTTATTGATTCTTTTTTGTTTTTGTTTATGTTTTACTTACTTACTGATTATAATAAAACAACAAACGTTTCCTTAAAGTATTTTGTTCGATAAACTATTTTAAACTGATTGACTTTCTTTACAATTAATAGTCCATAATATACGTTCTAAATAACTAATGGTTGAATTAAGACTTTTACTCGTCTGTAGTTATTACTTGTTCAGACTTCTCCATTCCTTTTAAGCCTATTTTAGGAAACTTCTACTCTCAACTTTCACACTCAGTGCCTTTTATATTGTAGTGATCATTTATATATAATGCTTACCTGGTTTTATTTTGTTATTCCAGATAGATAGATATAGATTTATTTACCATCTCTTTTTTGAAGTAATTAGTTAAAATTTGAAATTTGCACGTTGAACATAGGCACATCACTTGATATGTGGATCTGGTGTGCCTTTGACTTTGTACTGTTACTTACGTAGTTTATTAAGTGTTAACTAAAATTGTAGTATTTTTTGCGAAGAAACTAATTTTTATTCACTAATTTTTATATAAAATACACACCTTACAATTATTGATACCATAAATAAATCGTAGTTACACAAATCATGCCACCGGACGACAGAGCTATAAAATATAAACATTACATTGTAGATCCTTTGATCCACGACTACTTTTTGTTCGCCTTTCGTAAACCACCAAGCTGGCTGCAGAATGTGATATAATCGATCAAAGTGGCTCCTCCCTTCTGCACTGTCGGCGCGTCGTCCAAAGCGTAGTCCGCTTCTTTTTCCGTGAACTTATCTCCCCAGGTCATCAGGTCATGTCGGATTCTGGAAAATTATTAGAATGGAAATGAAACGATAAGGTATTATCGTTTTTTTATACAATTTGCTTATCAACACTTTGGTTTAGCCAGCTTGAAGTTTAATTTCTTTTTTCATGTTTAATTGTATCACTTTTCCGTACTTTAAATATGTGTCCAATGTTTGATTATACTGAAGACTTATTGAAGACCGGAAATATTTACGGAGTATTCAGATTAAACATTGACAAGTTGAAGATGAATATCAAATCAACATTGTCATCGCCAATGACCAATGTAGTACTTGATACTACTATTACGAACCGTTGTCTATCTGAAGCGTGTACCGTTGATGTTGCCCGGGGGGTTCATCACAAATGAACGATTCAAAAGATGCTATTCACATTGTTATTCTTATTTTATTATATAGGATCGTGACAAATTTATGAATCGTGACATCAAAGCCCTGAAATTTTCTGATATCCCGATTCATAAAATAATAAATATTAACTATAGCGAATCACAGCAGTAGCTACAAATCTTTTTTGTACATACCTTCTAAATAGTCTTTTAGTTATATAATTGAAACTCTAAATTTAAATGCACTTATTTTTGGCGACCTTATCGTGCTATTTTGTCACTATTGTTTCTGTTTTCGTAGTAACGGTATATTCGTATTCAAATAAATTGTAAGTACATTTCCTTTGGCCTTGCCACTCCTCAATAGACCTCACCTGAAACTCTTTCCGAAATTTTGGACCTTCAAAAAAATTTATCAGGATGCCTATAGACTCAGTATGATCTGAGGGTCCAATCGCCGTATAGGTGGTCCCATCCTTTTCTCCCCCGAGTGATGTAATCGAATCGCAGTACTCGCTACATTTACAATGGGCTAAAAATATTCACAATTTCAAAGCTGCGCTGGACTTACTCAGCAATGTATTGCAGAGGGTAAGGTACGAGATATAATTTCACTTTACGACCTACTATACGACCAGGTAATGTTATTCCGCTCGTCAAAAAACCGAGTTTCATACCAAGCCTCTTTCAGATGTCGTAAAATAAAGATTGCATTGAAAATTTTAATAAACCTCTACGAGGAACGACCTTTAATATTTTCAGGCAAAAGAACTTTGTAAAATATTAACCGGTCATACATCATTTCGGTTTGGAAGCCTCACACGTGTAGGTTAATGTGTAGCGACATATGATTTTTATTCCAGCCTTATTTCGGTTACACGTGCCTCAGTATTTGGATTACAAATAATCGTACCAAATTTTTTCAACCCTCCAGGTGTAGTTTATTTTGTTCTAGAATATGATGTCTTTAGAAATTGTTCTGTTTTTAAAACAAATTGAAAAGTCTATCGACTAAAGTAAAAGATGATTTGAAATAAAAAGTATTTCCATAATGAAATGCCTCAACATTATACCAAACAATAAACGATATCTTATTCAAACTCGGAAATACTGTTTAGATTTATATAGCCATAATTTTCAGTAGACCATCAAACATTGCCCCTAAATCTTAGCTATCGAGGTTCCCCAACAAATATATCAAAGGAATACCAAACAACGTAATTCTATCTTCATCCGCATTGTCTTTGAGTCCCTTGACAAATGTGAAGAAATGCATTTTTGGAAATATTTTAGTAAGCTTGTACCAAAATTGAATATTAAACATCACATACTTACAAAAACGCTTCTTTCTTTCTCTCTTTTTATTAGCTTTCGAATTATTCGGATTTCGCGATAGAATTGGAATTTTTTTTCGCATTTAAAAGTCTGTGCAAACGACATATTTTTTACGCAGAGATGAAGAAACGCGCATTTACGGCGCCATGGAGGCTCAAAAAGAAGATGGTTCGTTTGTATTGATTCTGTATAACTTATTTAGTAGAGAATATGTTTTATAGTGTATTGCATTTTATAAAGCGCAGCCGCCGCAGCTCGCTGCAGCCCGTCGCCTCTTGTTGCAGCTTCGTTTTCATTTTTACTGCTTAACGAAATGTTGCTTTATTTTGTAGACGATAAAGTTTGTATTGCATTACTTATTTTAATGCAGCGCCGCGTACAGCGTACCGTGTCGCGTTCTGTCTCGGCAATATGAATCTAGCCTTACGAGCGTACGAAGCTATACAAAAAACAACTAAATTTATGAACATGTGCAAAGGTTTACTGGCTGCGACTGAACCACGTTAACTCGCGCTATCTGCGCGTCGCGCGTCGTCTGTGTAGA